GGCCAGTCTTTCCTCATGTCGCAATTACTGGGAGTGGCGACGCGACGTACCTCTACATATTCCCAGTGTGCGCTGCGGCCTGGCTGGGCCTGGCTGGGCCTGGCTTCGCGACGCTCGCCGTGCGACGTCCCTTGCTTTTTATTCTCATATAAAAGTTGTGCTGGTCTCTCTTCCTCTCTCTCTCTCTCTCTCTCTCTCTCTCTCTGAAGCAAACCAACGGCCCCACCCCTTTCTTGCCGGGCTTTCCTTCCATGCGGTAAAGGCCATTCCGCCTGGTCTGTCGTCTGTCTGCTGTCTGTCTGTCTGTCTGTCTGTCTGTCTGTCTGTCTGTCTGTCTGTCTGTCTGTCTGTCTGTCTGTCTGCCGGTCTGTCTGTCGGCCAGGGTGGCCGTCAGAGTGCCACTGTCCGCTCGGCCAACAACAGGCCCTGGTCGATCGTTTCAAATTCGCCTGGCCGCTGGCCGAGCTAGCCGGGCTAGCCGAGCCGTGTTCCAGGAGTGCCGTCTGGTCCAGCCCCTCCGAGTTCACGAAGCAGCCTGGCCAGGGCCGGGCCTCTCGGCCGCAGCGACCGCACCGGGAAGGAACACTCGGCGACCCTTGCGAGGCCGAGGCCGAGGCCGGGGCCGGCGTCAACCCAGCTGTTGATTAATTCGTCCTGTGTGCCTCCCTGATTACCGACTGGCCTCGGCCTCGGCCGGCAGCGCGACGACCTCCCCGATGTTGTGACGGCCTCGGCCTGGCACAGTGGGCCAGAAGGCCGGTGGAGGCGGCCAAAACTCTAGACGCGTTTTGAGCTCCAAAGTCGCTAAGTGGGACTCGAACCGAACGTGTGACCCCACCAATGGATTGCTCTAGGAACGAGGAATCCATTGGTGGGGTCACACGTTCGGTTCGAGTCCTGTTTAGTGACTCTGGAGCTCGAAACGCGTCTAGGGTTTGGGCCGCCTGCGCCGGTCGTCTGGCCCACAGCGCGCCTCCCCCGGGACCGTGCCGCCGGCACAGCCACGGCGCAGCCCTAAGTGACAGATTTCATATTAAAATGAGGCCAGCGAGGCCGGGCGGGACTCTCAGGCACTTCCACTACACTGACGCCGCGACACACAGAAGCCAGCCCTCAAAGGGGTTGCCGACTAATGGGGTCAATACCTTAAACGGTCCTCGCGGGGCTGGCGGGCTGGCGGGGCTGGCGGGGTCGTTAGTCTACATTAATGGAGCCAATGCGATGCATAATGCAAAAGAGTAGTGCCATCACCGCCTCCGTTAGAGGAAGACATTCGTCGTGTTTGTGTGTTCGACGAGCCACGGAGGGTGCGGAGAATCTCACAGAGGGGGAGAAAAAATTTTGCCCCAGGTGAGGCTCGAACTCACAACCCCGGCATTGCTCACGAACACTGACGTATAAGTACCGTGCGCTAACCGATTGCGCCACTGGGGCGGACATGTGAACTGCCGAGCTGACTGGCATCAAGGCTTTCCTTGTTTAGAACGGATCGTCATAAACACGTGGCCTGGGCAGGGGTTGAGCCTAAGCTGTCATCGTTCTCATAATTGGAATAAAAAAATTACTGAAAAAAAATCGGCACCGAGTGAGTTTTGAACCCACACCCTTCGGCATCACTCAGACACGCTAACCGATTGCGCCACTGTAACATCAGAGAACCGGAGTGCGGCCTGGGCAATAAACAGAGAGAAGGCACCACACCTCAGCACAAATAGGGGATCATGTAAAAATATTCAGAGCACTCCCTGCCTCCGCACTCCAGCCAGACCCGGCCCCTCCCCTCCCCTCCCCCTTCCCCCTCCCCTCCTCCCGCCTAGACGCCGCAAAAAGAGGCGGACTCTGCTTCCTAGTCAGATGCCATGCAAATAGGACGCCCGCGGTGAAATGAGAGCTCCCGGCCCGGGCCCGGGTTCGAATACCAGCCGACGCCGCTTTTTCGCCCTCTTTTTTTCGCTCTCTTTCGGTGGAGGGATTGAGCCTGCCGACGGGCCAAGGGTGGCTCCAGTTACCGATGAAAAACAAAACAGGAGTCTGGAATTTTGTCAACCTGGCCAGGTGCGCACCGCTGCCCATGCGTCACCACTGTCACCTGGATGTCTGTCTGTCTGTCTGTCTGTCTGTCTGTCTGTCTGTCCGGCCGGCCGGCCAACAAGGCGATCTGGAGCCGCGCCACGTAATGGCTTGGACCAATAATCAAGCGCCAATGACAGGCTGCCTTTTAAACGGCAGGGGAGGCGCCGTGCCCTAGCCGTGCCCTAGCCGGGCCGCCCCACGAGTGCGAGAGAGACAACGACGGCGCTGCTGCAGCGGCCCTGAGTGACAAGATGAAGAGCCGAATGCATTCTGGAGGGAGGGAGCGAGAGAGGGAGGCTGGCAGTGTCGCTGGCAGCCATCACTCCCCCTCCCCTCCCCCTCCCCTAGCGAGGCAACGCCGCGGTGACAAATGCATGCCTAAGACTTGCTCGACAACAGCTCCCAAATAATGCACCAGCTCGCTGCAGTCCAATCGGGACGTCATCGGCTGCCAGCTCGACTGCCTGCCGCTCAGTGGGCCAGAGGACCGGTGGAGGCGGTCGAAATCCCAGACGCGTTTTGAGCCCCACAGTCGCTAAATGGGACTCGAACCGAACGTGTGACCCCACCAATGGATTGCTGTCCGAACGAGGAATCCATTGGTGGGGTCACGCGTTCGGTTCGAGTCCTGTTCAGCGACTCTGGAGCTCAAAACGCGTCTCGAGTTTTGGCCGCCTCCACCGGTCTTCTGGCCCACTGTGCGGCATTCCCGCGGCCAGGCCTAGCCAGGCCAGGGCCTAGCGGCCCGGAATCGATTTGAATTTTACCGCCTCGCGCTTGGTGTGTTTGATGGAGCAGCCAATCAGGCGGGGCGAGCGGGGCGCTGCGCAAACCGACGGCCATTTGCATCGGCGCCAAGCAGCAAACTATCGGCGGAGCGGAACTTGAAGCAACAGCCCACTGCACTATTCGAAAAAAAATCTTGGAACTTCCAAGAGAACTTGTTGTTGGTGAAAAATCTCATTCAACGAACGTTAATGAAAGCAGATGATCCGTCGCTTTTCACAACTGCTGTGAGAGCCGAGAGGTTAGAGACGTGGGATCGAGTTACCGCAAACCGGCGTTCGAATACCAGCGTCACATAAGTTTTTGCGACTTGCTATCTTAAGGGTGGTGGTTCGAGGCCATTAGAGCGGAGCCGTGTGCAACAGGCCCACATGCCGGAGGTTCGACTCCTAACAAATATTTCCATTTAATTTTATTGCCTCACCCAGTGCGGTTAAAACCCGTGAACGTGAGCCCACTTCGAGCATGGGACTTGGTGGTCCAGGGAGTAGAGGCGTCGGTTCCCAGTGCTGGGGTCGGCGGTTCGACTCCTCCAACTTCTTGCGAAATTTTGACCGGGTCGGTCGAGTCCTGTAGCGTCAAGAACCCACCTCACGCCGGTCCCCTCATCATGGGCCGTGGTGGCCGAGAGCGTAAAGTCGTGTGATCCCGGTGACGGGGTCCGGGGATCGAATCTCATCATTTCGTTACATTTTTCGACCGCCTTCCTCTCAGTGCAACTCAAACCCGTCGTCCAACACGCTGCCAGACGTACAAGCGTGATAGCGTAGTGGTCAGAGTCACATTCACCTGGCCACTCCGCTGTGGGTGTCTAAAAAGCAATCCGCTTCGGCGGGTTGGCCTCGGCACTGGAGCGATGGCGTATTTGATCCATCAATCCAGACCATCCGGTGTGTGGTTGCGGGTGGTGCCTCCTCGATTCGTCGGGGAGGCGATGATAAGTCCTTTGAAGCTGGCCTAAAACGCTGTATGTTCGGTACGGGAGCGCCGGACAGTGGGGGTACCATGGGGTACACAACCAACCCTACGAAAACAAGAAGCTCCCACCAAACCTCTTCTCTGTCTGAGTCTCTCTCTGTCTCTCTGTCGTCTCACTCTACGTCCCGCCCCTCTAAGAGCTTCGTACTGGGTGCTCTCACCCAGCTGCCTGAGCTTTGGGGTCCTACTGGGTCCCCCGGCGAACGCTTAGAGTCGCTGACGGGATTAACCCCAGGTACCTGATAGCACCGGTTCCCATCCCGAACACCGAAGTAAAGCAGGAGGCCTCCCCATTAAGACTGCACTGAGAATCCAAACGCTATGAGTATAGCGTCAATTGGTGCAATGCAAAATCATTGCACATGAAGTGCAATGCCTCTCCTTTCCCATGCATTATCACAGGGCATTTTCGGAAAGCATTGCACCTATGGTGCGATACGGCTCTGGCATTGCACGTGTGGTGCGATATCCCAGCGCATTGCACCATACGTGCTATACTCATAGCGTTTGGAATCTCAGTGTGGGGAGGGGGTGTAGAGTTCAAATTTTTTTCTTTTCCCTTTCAAATTTCTCAGTTAATACTCGTTTGGTTTTCTTATACGGGGTAGTATGCGGGCTCATTCCAAAGATAGTAATTAAAATTGTGTATGAAACAAAATATGTAGACCCGAGCGAGGTGGACTCGAGAGTAAAAGCACGCTGACACCTTCATGTGTATAGTAGTTATGTTTCAAGTGTGAAGGTATCATCTGCTAAAAAATAGCCTCCAATCGTCGGAAAAATTCCGAAACTGTCCGCTACTCTGTCTTCGTACAAACGCGCCCTGCAACCCGCTTTTCCAGTGCCGCGTGCGGCGGTTCGCGCCGCGCGCCGAAAAACACAATTATCCGAGCGATTGCCCCTGCCTGGCTTGCCTCCCGTCCGTCCGATTGATTTGTTCCGAGAAACAAAAGTTAGCCGGCCAGCGGGACGGAGCGGGACGGAGCGGCGCCCTTAGGCGGTCTCTCTCGCACGCCAGGCCCGGCCAGGCCGTTCGCGTCACGTTGCGAGAGAGACTGGCCGGGGTTCGACTACCGGCACCTCAATTTTTTTCTGCCTAGCTATCCTAAGCGGGACGGTTCGGGGCCGCGTGCTTGAAGACTCACGGGCAGACTGAAACTCACGGTCGGGAAGTATTTGGGGATGGTCCGTGACACCAGCTGTAACACAAACAAACAAAAATTAATGATTTTATTTTTTTGCCACGCGAAGCGTGTACACACACGCGCTCGCTCGTAAACCAAACCAAGTGAAATTTTTTTTTTTTCAAAATTGTCTGCGAGTGCAACAAGGCCTGCTGAAGTGATTCGGCAGTGTGCCGCACTCTCGGGACGCCCCCCTGGTGTGCGAGAGAGACGGAGAGGCGAAAACAAAGACCCTGCCAATTATCTGGCTCGGGGCCCCAGCGCTCCGGGCGAGGGGGGTGGCGGAAATAAAATAATGTAGTGGACAAAGGCGGCATTAGGCAAGGAAAGAGTCGCCATTGTGGCATTGAGACTCTCGTCGTCCCGAGTGTCTCGAGTGTCTGGAGTGAGCAGGGCGACCGTGGCACCCCAGACCCTGGGGCCCGGGCCAGCAACAGTGCCCCCCTGGTGCCCCCCTGGCCGCCGTCGCAACGCCAACAGTGTGCCAACACTCGGCAGGGGCTGCAGCAACACTGCAAAGCACAGTGGATTTGACGGAAGACCAGCGCAGGCGGCCAAAACTGAAATGAAACAACTTGTAAAAAAAGAAGTGTTGACTGTGTATACGCCTTTGAAATCGCCGCCCCTTGAGACTGAAGTTCCAGGTGGGGACGACCCGAGCACTTCCGAGTCGTCAGGAACAGTTTCGACGAGGAGTTTCATTTCGACCAAGTCAAACAGTCCTGGAGGCGGCGAAACACGAGACGCTGGGGGGCGCTCCGGGGGCGGGGCGGGGCGGGCCGCGGATCGGATAGCCAATCAGAGCGAGCGGTCAGGTGCAACTCGCCAACGCACCACACCTCTGCGGAAATTAAACACTCGTTGTTTCTCTCCCTGCCAATACGATGCAACGCGCACAACACCCACTTGGTTCGTTTCAAGCCCAGCTGACGCAGATCTGGCTCGGAAAGAGAAGGTGAGTTTCCATCGTGAACACACTGTACAGGAAAGAACCAGGTGAGGCAAAAACTAGGAAGTGGCGGGATTCGATCCCCGGGTACCCAGCTCACGGGTCGACGCCTTTACGTCCTCGACTACTGCGACACAGCCCCTTGCGGACTCCAAAATTTGACTCTCGCCACTGCGAGGCAGCGCGGGCGGGCGGACGGGCGGGCGGCGGCGTGGCTCGGCGCTGCTCCCATCGACTCCTTCCAGGCCAGCAAGATGAGGTCATCCCCGCCAACAAACATTTTCCCGCGGAAAGGGGGAGGGAGGGGGGCTCATTTGGCGTGCCAGCTCACCGACATAACGCCCCCCACCCCCTCCAAGGGGGCGCCCCTAACGGAGTAATTTGAATTTATGGACGCGCCCCGGTTGCAAGAGGGAACGGGGTGAAGAGGGAGGGGGGGGGCTGAGGAGGGGGGGGGGAGAGAAGGACATGCAGGGGGGCTCAAAGCGCAGCAGCACACCACGCGTTCGGACTGAAAGTTGGACACAAAAGAGAGAGGGAGAAGGAGGAGACGGGATCTGATAAGGGGGAGCGGCTGAGAAAAGAGAAAGGGGTGAGGGAGGGGGGGGGGGTAATGTAGTGGAGAGACAAAGAAAAGGCACTCTGAAAAATGGCAAATTGCGGGTGACGTGCGGGCGGGGCGGGGCGAGGCGGGGCGAGGAAGGAACTATTTGTCCGTTTCAGAGAGGCGAGAAGGCGAAAACGCACAGTTTTCACTCCTTCCGGCGGATGGGAGGGAGGCCTCGCGGCTCAGGCCCACGTTGTAGGAATGGCGCGTAATGCATTCATGGAAAAAAAGAGTATCCTGGCGGTTTTGACGCTACGTTTTTATCAGTGTCGGTCGTGTGTGTGTGTGTGAGAGTGAGTGTGTGTGAGCGCGTGGAGTGAAGAGGCACTTTTTTTTTCGCGGCCGTAATCACACTTTATGTCGTCTATCAAATTTTCCTACGCTAACCTCACTTTACGTCGCCAGGTAACTTCACTCTCGATTGGATCTTTCTTCGCGGCGGCCCTCTGCAGGACCTCCGGCAACCTCCAGGAACCTGCAGGAACCTCCAGGAACCTCCAGGAAACTCCAGGAACCTCCAGGAACCTCCAGGAACCTCCAGGAACCTCCAGGGCCTCCAGGACGTTGCCTTTTCCAGGTCCGGGTTCGAGTCGCCCGGCCTGGCCCGGCCCGGCCCGGCCTTGCCCCATTTGCATTGGCTGTCCCCGGCGGCGGCCCAGTGCCTTTGACCTTTGACCTGCAGCGAGAGAGACGCGCGACCGCCAATCAGGGCGCGGCACGGCGCGGCACGGCGCGGCACGGCCTCAAAGGACCAGCCCCGGGGGTCGCTGCAGCTTGCAGGTACACTGCAAAAGCTGAGGAGGCAGTCGGAAACGCCGCGGAGGGACTTCCTCGCAGCGCACAGTGGGCCAGAAGACCGGTGGAGGCGGTCAACACCCCGAACGCGTTTTGAGCTCCACAGTCGCTGAATGGGATCCCAACCAAGCGTGTGACCCCACCAATGGAATGCTCTCCGTACGAGGAATCCATTGGTGGGGTCACACGTTCGGTTCGAGTCCCGGTTAGCGACTCTGAGGCTCAAAACGCATCTGGAGTTTCGGCCGCGCGCGCCGGTCTCCTGGCAAATCCACTCCACTGTGCAGCGGCAAGACGAGTGCGCTATTCTTTCAATAACGCGCCAGTCCCTCCGGGCCCACCCCTGGGGGTAATGCAATCAGTGTAGCGACACACCTAAGGCCCCACCACGCCCCACCACGGCTTTGCCGCTGCGTGGGGAAAGCGGTAACCAATTGCTTTTGGCTTTGTTAGTCCCCTTCCCGGCTGGGCCAGCCTGGGCCAGCCCCGCGCGGGGCCGCGGGGTGTCGCGAGAAACTTTGCCCCGCCGCGTCCCCACGCCCCCACGCGGCCAGCGCCCCGCCGGCCGTCGACACCGCCGCCTTTTTTGCACAGCCACTTCCAATGCAGCATGTCTGCCCCAGTGGCGCAATCGGTTAGCGCACGGTACTTATACGGCAGTGTCCGTGAGCCATGCCGGGGTTGTGAGTTCGAGCCTCACCTGGGGCAGTACTTTTTTCGCATTTCTTTGTCGACGGTTTTGAACCACGAAACAGGCAGGCCCTATTGGGCCCCATCAAGGTGGCCACGTCTCGACGCGAAATCAAACAAAGGGGAGGGGGGCCGACCACCCACACACACACACACACACCCACACACGCGCGCCGTCTTGCCTGACGGCCTTTGAATTCTGCTGCGTGCCAGGGGTGGCGCAAAGTGGTGGCGGAGTGGCCGGAGAAGTAAAAAGGGGCCGACAGAAAAACAGACGGACAGACAGACAGACAGACAGACAGACAGACAGACAGACAGACAGACAGACAGACAGACAGACAGACAGACAGACAGATCAGCCCCACTGTCACTGATCAAAAACTCTGCCGGGATTCGAACGCGCAGCCTTGCGATTATTGGCTCGGCTCAAACAGGCCTCCCCTCTCCCTCCCGGTCCTGCCACGTGTCAGCGGAGGAGGGAGAGAGAGGGAGAGAGAAAGAGAGAGGCAAAGAGAGAGAGAGAGAGTTATGGACGCGAACGAATTGAACGACGCGAAAAATGGGGAGGGAGCGGTTAAGTGGAAGGGGCTGTAGCGCGGCCGGGCCGATGCTGGGCGATGCACAGTGGGCCAGAAGACCGGTGGGGGCGGCCAAAACTCTAGACGCGTTTTGAGCTCCAGAGTCGCTAAATGGGACTCGAACCGAACGTGTGACCCCACCAATGGATTGCTCTCCCAACGAGGAATCCATTGGTGGGGTCACACGCTCGGTTCGAGTCCTGTTCAGCGACTCTGGAGCTCAAAACGCGCCTGGAGTTTTGGCCGCCTCCACCGGTCTTCTGGCCCACTGTGCGATGCCGGGCGAGGCGGGTGCAGTTAGGCCGGCTACAGCGTATCGACAGGTCTGGCCGCGACTGCCGTGACACGCCGGCCGGTCTGTCTGTCCGTTTTTAAATGGGTCGCCTCCTAATTATGAAGCACAGCCCCCACGGGGCCGCGGGGCCCTCCGCGGGGCGTGCATCTGACGAGCCGGGCCGCCCGGGCCAATCCATCGAGCGTGGCTCGGCTCGGCCCGGGCCGGCTCGCACGGCAAATGTTGGCAATATTTTATGCAGATCCGGATGGGCCTCGCCCCGATGGTTCGGCATGGCCTATTGCAGTGCAGGGGGAAGCCCGGTGGGAAAAAAAGGCGCGAAAAAACGAAAAAGCGCGGTGCGCGGTCCAGGCGGGCCAGGTGGGGACGGTGGGCTATTTACCACCACAGCGGGCCAATTTGAAACGGTGGGCACACTGTAACGCTGCCAACAGCAATGGAGTGCTCTGCAGCCGACAGCAGAGTCGTCGCTCGGTCTCTCTCGCACCCACACGGGGAGACGGAGCGACGAAAAACGACTGTCAAGTCTGCGGCCGTCTGCGACCGTCTGCGGCGCAGTGCGGCCAATTTTCAAAACGCGCGGCAGCGACAAAGCGAGGAGAAAACCACCGGAAAAACGGCGGGAAAATGAAAGAGGGTGCTGCATGGCTCTCCGGAGGGAAGCTTTCGCTTTGAGCTGCGTTCAGTGGAACGCCCCGGGAACGCCCCGGGAACGCCCCGGGAACGCCCCGGGAACGCCCCGGGAACCCCCCAGCCTCCAGCCACTCTCAGCCCCAGCGCGCAACCGGCGACGACGTCCGCGCGAGCCGACCACTCCAAAGCAACACCGCGTTGTATCGGAAAAACGCTCGCCGGCGCGCCAACACCCCAAGACAGGCACGTGTGGCCCCTGCCCCACCCCTAGTATGGACTACGCACAGACACACACGCGCACATATCTGACAAAAAGGTGATTGCAAACCAAAACAAAAACGGTGCCTTTGGTGGGGCTCGAACTCACGACCACGGACTCTGCCCCTCAAGTGCGACGCGCTAACCGATTGCGCCACCGGGGCGGGCGGAACCCTTCGCCCTCCTCGCCTGCCCGCAACTTTACCGCGACATTTCAAATTACGCACGGTACACAGAACACGGAAAAACAAGTTGTTGTTTCCCTGCGGACGGTCGTGCCGCTACAGTGTGCACGCCGTACCGCCCTGCATGCCTGTGTTTATTTTGCCGCGCCTCTGCCAAAGGATCAGAGCCACGTTCTCTCTCTCTCTCTCTCTCTCTCTCTCACGCAGGCCCACGCCTTGAGCCCCCCCCCCCCCTGGCCCGCTAAACCCGACAGGTCCCGATGGAAAGGAAACAAACTCCCGTAAACCGCTTTGGGACGCACGCATCAAGAAACACATGAGTTGCAGCCGGGAGTACACTGCCAAGCCAGTGCAGCGGAAGAGTACCGGCCGCCGGTCTCGTAAACAAAGAAAAATCTGAGTTCACGCTGATGGACCCGGCGGGAGTCGAACCCGGGCCGGCCCGCAGCGAAGACCCACCAGGCCGGCTATCCAGCATCAAATTTCTATCAAACGGCTACCGGAAGGGCTCCAGCACCGGCCTCACAAACACAATTATTAAACAGGACAACCACCGTCGCAGCACAGCGCGTACGCGAACCCGGAAGGGAGGGAAGAGGGGGGGGGGCTGATGTCCACTCTGGGGACGCCCTCGACCGCCCTCCAATCCCTGCCTGAGCTCTCCTGCCCCCCGCACGCACCACTCACACAGACGTACACACACACACACACACACACACACACACACACAACCTAAATCACACCCAGAGACGCCAATAGCCACGCAAAGTGGGAGGGGGGGCGGCTAACTCGCGTTTCGGGGCAACCCCTTCGACATGCCGGTGTCGCGCACACACACACACACACACACACACACACACACACACACACACACGTGCAATTCTGTTGTCCGAGAGGCTGAAAGAAGCCCCCGGTGCTAAGCAGGGCGCAGGGACCGAGGCGGGGCGGTCCGATTCCGAAGCGCAGAGCGTCGTTGCTCCGTCTCCGTCGCCCTCGCGGCGCGTCCCGCTCAGTCCCGCGGGGGTGCGAGAGAGACAGAGCGGCCAAACGACTCCCGCGCTCTCGGTCCGTATGGAAGCAAAGCAGGACAGCCCAACGGCCCCCCCTGATCCCTGGGGGAATCTGTTTCAAGGATCAGTTGCTGGCAGGAAAAGGGATTGGTCGCGACAGCACGCGCTTCCAGGTGTATGCGTGCGCGCGTGCGTGTGTGTGTGTGTGTGTGTGTGTGGTGTGTGTGAGTGTGTAGGCGGAGGCGGCAAGGGAGTTGGCTTCAGAGAGCGCGGGGAATTCAAACAAGTTTAGCCGCGATAAGGCCTGCAAGTTCCGCGAGCTTTCCGCCCCGTCCTCGTCCTCGCTTCGATGACGCGCCGAGACAACAACGCGGAAAAGGAAAAAGCGGGGCGGGGATTCGAACCCGGGAACCCGCGGACCCGGAATCCGTCACCGCGCGTCTCCAGAGCCAGCCGTTCGCGGAACGCCGCAAGCGGGACGCCACTCGGTCTGCCTGCACCTGACACCTTTAATATCGCCACCCGGAGTGGCTGGCGGGGCTCGAGCGGCTGCCGAGGCGCACGTAAATATTGGATCGGACGGCCGGGAGAGAGAGGCGGGGGGGGGGGGATTTGCCGCTAGAAACAAGGAGGAAGAGCGGGAAAAAAGACAGGGGCTGCAAAGGGTAGCGGATACCAGTTCTCCCCGAATACGTCTTGCTTGAGCTGCCTCGGGAATATTGCATGGATAGATGGATGAGCGGGGGGGGGGGGGGGGGGGCCCCACAGGCGAGTACATGGCGCCACTTCAAAGCCGGCATACGTACATACGTATCGTCCGACAGTCAATTCCGGGAAGCAAACAAACCGCAGTACAGTACCGAGTTCGAATACCCGTTCCTCTTTCCCCCCCCCCCTCTCTCTCCCTTTTCATCTTTCCGCGCTATTAAGGGGAGTTCATGAATCCCGTGCCGCATGAAAATCCGGCCAGAGGCACGCCGTCGGGCCGGGGCGGGGCGGGGCGGGGCGGCAAGCACCGGACATCACCCACAACACGCACTTAGCCTGAATTTTTCATCCCGCCCTGAAAGTTTAAGCGCCGCTTGCTCCGGGCGTGACGTCATCCCGCTCGTAACGCGTTGAGAGTCATGTACCCTTCGGCCCCCGTGGAGGCGGCTGAAAATCCCGGACGCGTTTGGAGCTCCAGAGTCGCTAAACGGGACTCGAACCGAACGTGTGACCCCACCAATGGACTGCTCTCCAAACGAGGAATCCATTGGGGGGCACCCCTTGGGTTTCGAGTCCTCCTCCACGATTTGGAGCTAAAAAACCGTCTAGGTTTCGGCCGCCTCCACCGGTCTTCTGGCCCACTGCGGGTCCTGTCGGCGCTTCGAGCCGTGCAGGCTTGGCGGCCTGGAGGGCCACTTAGCGCTGCCTCGCGCGAGTCATCCTGCTCATCGATCAGGGAAACACAATAGTGGTAAGACGGATCGGATTTCCAAGGCCAAGCCGCGCGGCACCGCCGTGTAGCGGCGCAGCGCCAAGGCCTTGCCGGGGGGAGAAGGAGAGAGAAAAAAGGGGAGAGAAAAAATCACGGTCTGAGCGACGCAGTGTTGCCCAGGAAGTATGCGGAAAGTACTGCATTCACCAGCCAAAGTCGCCAAACAGGACTCGAACCGAACGTGTGACCCCACCAATGGATTCCTCGTTCGGAGAGCAGTCCATTGGTGGGGTCACACGTTCGGTTCGAGCCCCGTTCAGCGACTCTGGAGCTCAAAACGCGTCCGGGATTTTTGGCCGCCCCCCCCGGTCTTCTGGCCCACTGTGCTCACGGCCGCCGAGCAGCGCGGCAACCCTCCCGGACGCGCTGCCCGTTGGGTTGCCTACCCTCGCCACCGCAGGGGCACGGCGGCACCGGACACCCACCTGGAACAGACAGAGAAGCGCACCAGGTCAGACAGAGCGTCAACAGTCTCCTTCTCAAAACCGCGACAAATTCGTCCTTTGGTCGGATCTCGGCCGGGATCCGGTTTCCGCCAGTGCGCCGGCAACAAAAAAACAACAACAACAAACAACAACAAGAAAGCCGCGGGGAAGGACCAGGGAAAGGACCTCCATCACGACGGGCTTGGTGACGTCTGCGCCAAATCGGATTACGCCGCCACCGTCTGCATCTGCGTAATTGGCGGGAAAAAAAAAAAACAAAACAAAAAAACGCTGCCGGAAACCATTTAAAACGCGACACAGCTACGCCACGCGGCCCTGCTCGGCCACGCGGTCGGGATCGCGGGATGTATACATGGCGCATTCCCAGTGGAGCGGACGGGAAAAGAGCCGGCAGAAGCACCACGGGCAGAACGGCACTCGTGAGGGAACGGACAGAGCGCAAAAAAATAGGTGCCCCAGGTGGCTCGAACTCACAACCCCGGCATCGCTCACGGACACTGCCGTATAAGTACCGTGCGCTAACCGATTGCGCCACTGGGGCGGACGGTTCTAGAGGCCACCTCTCCAGCCGCCATGGTCGCCCCTCCTACGTCACTTCGTCACTTGATGATGCGTGTATTCCATCATGGCACTCCACCATAAAAGTGACGTCACGTTTTTTCGCGGCCGCGAGGGGCGCTACTGACGCCGACCCAGCCGCCGATCGCCTGATTCCGAACAGCACACAGTGGGCCAGAAGACCGGTGGAGGCGGCCAAAACTCTAGACGCGTTTTGAGCTCCAGAGTCGCTAAACGGGACTCGAACAAACGAGTACCCCACCAAGGACTCCTCGTTCGGGGAGCAATCCATTGGTGGGGTCACACGTTCGGTTCGAGTCCCATTTAGCGACTCTGGAGCTCAAAACGCGTCTAGACTTCTGTCCGCCTCCACCGGTCTTCTGGCCCACTGTGCGCCGTGACCCGCAGGACGCGATGCGGTTTCTCGGCGGCTTTATGGTGGGGGGAAGTGACGTTTGGGAAACCAATACAGTGGAA